ATAAGGCTGGAAATCATAAAAACAGGCATTACTTATCCAAGTTTGCAAAACTATTCCTCTCTTTGAGAGCTTTTTCTGACTCACAGGAAATGACTCTGCAAAGTGCAGCTGCTGAACTGTGCAGTAGCTTTTGTGTGGAACAACTACAAGACTGGTCTCCGCTTCTCCATCTCAAGTGAACTTGAGATACAAGAAGAAAATACACCCGGGGGAGTAACCAGCTAACAGTAGATGTTCTCCTGCAGAATTTGTTTTATTGTTTATTTTGTATTGGAACAAAGCACATCCCTCAGAATCTGAAGAATGCTGTTGTATTTTCACACATAAGATCAGAACTTTGGTAAAAGCAAAAAGACCACTCCAGACGAGTTACAGTGCACTGTGACAACAGTGACACTTAGAACAAGGTAAAACTTCCTTCTCCTCCTTCAGCTAATGTAGAATAGAAAAGTGATCTTAGAATACCTTAAAAAAAAAAAAAAGTAAAACTTAACCCTTCTGGAATTAAGATTAAAATGAAATTTTATTGCAGTGCAGCCTTATTTTATTTTACAGTTTATAAAATGTCACTACAGTGTGTCATTACTGTCGAGTACTATTCCAGTTACACCAGGCTTATGTCTGCACTTCAGATTATTTCTGAACCTTCCTCTTTCTGGTCTCACAGACACATGATATACCTTTCCTACCTCAAATGATAATGATTTCCAATCTTTCTATCACTCATGGAAGCCAACTGTCTTTATCTTTTATATTTCACCCCTTGACCCAGCAAACCAGTTTATATATGAAAAAGGTCTTGTTTTGCATTACTTACCCCACCAAACCAGTGGAATGATACATTTGCACCATTCAAAGCACTAGAAATTGTGTCTTTGTCATCAATGGGACAGAATTTCTCTCTAAAATGCTTGGCTTTGGCAGTTATCTAGTCTCCATTTTATTGTAATGAAGTTAGAAATAAGCTGTCCATTAATTCCCTTTGTTTGGGCAGATTATAATAGCAGCTGTCTTATTCCATTTGCTGAAGCCTAAGATGTAAAGTACTCAGGAAAAATGTTTTCTAAAGCAGTCATTGGATTCAGGTTCTGGATCAGATTTCATATCTTTCTGAAATATCATAATCTTCCAGTTATTTACAACTTTCAGAAAAACATAACCTATACCTAACTACAAACAATTATCTCTTAGCTCTTTAAGCAATAAAAATATGTTCAGGACTTAACAAGTCAAACAGCCTGTGACTGCATAGATAAAATTCATGAAAAACATGGAAATCATTAAATCATTAACAGAAGTACCAGGATTATAGAATCTCATTTACATGGACATGTTTACTGACAATATCTGAGTAGTAACTCTGAAAAATGTAGAATTGCAATTTTTTGTCACACCTAAAAGACCAACTTGTTGGTGAAAATGCACTGCAGAATGGGTTAGCTAAAGCTGCAACAACAAAAAAAAGGGGGGGGGAGATGTCACAGAGATACTCAATAAGCATCTCAAGGTGATAGAGGAACATGTTTTTATAGCATAGAAGGTTCAGTTTGGCTATCAGAAATGTACAAACAGGACAGTAGGCAGCAGAAAGAGTGATGCTCCATGGTGTGGTAGAAAGATAAGGAACTTGGACAAAGAAACTGAAGAGCCAAAATTCTGTGGAAAAAAAAAAAAAAAAAAGATGCAAAAAAACATCTGGGATTTAGCATGTTATTTTTTCCCTCTACATCTGCATGCCTTCCATGCTGGCAAAATTAAAATTAATAATAATTTTAAAAAATAATGTTTAATCTAACATAAAATGTGTGCGTTTGTGCACCTTACATATGGGCATGCTTCTGAGAAGCGATACCCATGCTCTTAAGCCCCCGTGGGGTAGGCTTGTGGGGTGCAAAGCAGTGGGGGTGTCCTCCCTCAGAAGTGAATCCCCACCTCCAGGTTACAGGAAAGAAAGCTGCTTCTCCCTACCTAAGCATGGTGAAGATCATGCAGGTAGGGTGAGGTGACACCTACGTGGCAGGCTGGCAACAGTCCCACTGGGGAGAGCATAAAGGAGATGAAATCCTTACCTAAGGTGATTAGTTCTATTTACTTCAGCAGAGCTATGACATTTCAACGAAGGGAGAATGTGGCCCCGTTTTCGTCTTTGTTCCATGTTCTTATTCACGGTCCACGTGAAGGCTGAGATTGTGATCACATTATGCTTTGTTCAAGACAAGCAGACCCATACACCTGCTATTACTCACTGTACACCTTCCTTTCTAGTTCACTGGGTTTTTAATTGTGTTCTTTTCATTTTATGCTTATGCAGGGACAAACATGTCTCTTTAATTCTACCTATTAACATTGTCCTCTCTAATCCTACCCTGAAAATAGCAGAACAAAGGCAGTAAGTAAAATCTGTTTTGTTTGAATGAATTCAAAATGTATTTTTGTTAAGGAAAAACGCCAGGCTTTCATTAGCAGAGCAGTGAGTCATCCTATCAACTGTACCAAGAATAAATAAGAACAGCATCCATTGAAACTGAAACTGTGCTTTCCCTTAATGGGCAAGTGTCTCTGAGGAGAGCCTGGTGGGATAAAATGATCCAGCTTTTGGGGATGTCATTCCTTCCTGCTCAACCACATTACTCTGAAACTTTCCAAAATCATTTTTGTGCTCCTAGAAACAAGGCACACAAGGTGTAAATCTATACTCTCTGTTCTTAATTCCAACCATAAGAGGTCTCCATCACAAAAATGATCACAAAAATGATCATATAAAGAATATTCCTAAAGTCATTCTTCATATCACTTATTAGCCTTCTTTTTATTGCCAGTATTTGTGTGTTTGTGTGTAGTCCCACTGGACTCATATCTGAGGACTTAAATCTTAAAAGCATATCAGAATTTGGTCTAAATTGATCTCCAGATTAAAATAAGATAAAGATAAAATAGTGGAAGACTGCTCTGTATTGACTGGTCCTTGTTGTTTATCAAGGATGAAGCAACCAACAATCGTGTTATAAAGAGTGTTATTTTATGTAATTACTTTATAACTCTGAGCTTGACAGTTTTTGTACTTGCAAATATCAGGGCCTTATCTTTTTGCTGGCCAGTTAGAATGATTTACCTAAACTCTTGTAAGGTAATTTAAAATTTCCTTCTAGGAAGTCCAGCTGCTTCTGATTTCTACTATTTGTGTATGCTCTTGCTGTCACAAGAAACCTTGCGGGCTGCCAGCTGCTGTATCAATTCCTTGCAGCAGCAGACAGGCAAGACAAGATTGAGCAGTCAGAGGATTGCTCTAATTGAAGATGGGACACTGATTTGGCAAATTAATCTCTTAGCACTCTCTGAGTTTGCCACTGCAAAGGAATGACACCACAGCTGTTAGCAATGGAGGGTCACATAAAAGTCTTTTATTTTAACACAGACTTAATCCTACTTGTATATTTCTAGTGTTTTAGTCAGTGTTATAAGCATTCTGTAATTAAGTTATGGCACCTGTATATATTCTGTAGGAAGGTATCCTACCACCTGATGGGTTTTCATTATTAGAGAAGTCACCTTTATTCATCACTGTGTACAATTTAATCCCCCTCTCTATCTAACAAGACTGCTTAGGAGACTCCAACATTTTGGGATTCCCTTTGTGGTCTGAATGACATAGCTAACATGGACACTTCCGTGGTTTTTATTAAAAAAAAATAAAAAATCCTTAACATTGAAATTTACTTCATTTATAGATAGATAGCACTCCTTTGCTAACAATTATGCACAAATCCAGCTCAGGTATGCTAAAGCCATCCATCCAACTATTTTTAATGCAACCCTAAATAGATGCCTGTAATAGAAAACATGGTTTTGATTTTTGGAATTACACATTATCGAAACCACAACTGAAAAGGTTGGAAGTTCACAAAGTGAGGCAGGGAATATGCATGGATACACTTGAAAATGCAGACTTGCTTCTGTTGTGCTAGCAACAAAATTGCTCTGGCAACCATTTCTTCCTCCATCATTTCCGATTTATTTTATTATTTTTTTTTTTTGCAAATTTAGTGCAATAGTTAAGTCTCAATAGCAACCAAGAATCCCTTCAGGCCACAGGTATGTATGTTCAAACCCCTCTAATAGCCCTATAGGCCTAAAGGGAGTACTTCAAGTGACAGAAGGAGGGAAGCATTCCTGTTTTGTTCCTTGGAGGATGATTACAGTTGTTGTTTGAGGCCTGGAAATTGCAGAGTATACTTTCCCATTTCAAAATAATTATTTCAGATGTTTCATCATAATATAAATTTTGTCAGAAGTGTACTATGGCAGAAGAATTTGATGATGAGATTCATTTTGGGAACTCCATGTGTTGTTTCTAGTTCACAGTCACTTAAGATATTTTTTTAGTGACATTTTGCAACATCTTACCTCACTTGTGACTGCAAGCCAAGACGTGATGTGACTAACAGAGAAGGGAAATCACGCATAATGAGATACAGATAAGTAAGTATAAATACCCACCTTACTTTGAACAAAAAGAGTAGAGAGGAGGGAAAAGAGATTCTCTGTGACATATTTTTAGACAGATTCATGAAAAAGCCATTTTTGGAATGATTTGGATTACTCATCTTAGTCTTTCAGAGCTTCAAGTACATTGTTACAAGCTGTCTCCATCTGTCAAACCAGCTATGGGCTTTCTTAAGTGATACAGAAATCTATGCAGAGAGAAGAAACAAATACCAGATTTAAAAAAAAAATAAAAAATCCCTCTAGGTTGAAAGCTATTAAAAAAAAATAAAGACCTTTCCTTTCCTTTCCTTTCCTTTCCTTTCCTTTCCTTTCCTTTCCTTTCCTTTCCTTTCCTTTCCTTTCCTTTCCTTTCCTTTCCTTTCCTTTCCTTTCCTTTCCTTTCCTTTCCTTTCCTTTTTCCTTTCCTTTCCTTTCCTTTTTCCTTTCCTCTCCTCTCCTCTCCTCTCCTCTCCTCTCCTCTCCTCTCCTCTCCTCTCCTCTCCTCTCCTCTCCTCTCCTTTTTATTTTTATTTTATTTTAGTTTATTTTTCTGCTAACCACTGTTAGCACAGTTACATTTTCCTGAATATGTAATACAGAAAGAAAAAAAGTCCTAGAAAACCTTTATATTATAAACAAACCACCCGTGTTTGCTTGCCTTGCCTAACTACCTTATGTTTTCAAAAAATCAGCAGTTCTTTGTTGCTATAAAAAAAAAAATAAAAATGACGGCAGAGGTGATTACTGGGGTCATTCCAGGTTGGAGATGATAAATGTTTTCCATACATAATTTTTTTGTTTCTTTGTTTGTTTTGTTTTGTTTTGTTTGTGTGTGCGTTTGTGTGTGTGTGTGTTTTAAGATCAATAAATCAAAAATTCAGAACTAGGCATATTTTTTCTAAGCATTATTAAATTTTCTCCTTATATCTGCTTTTAAGCATTCTGCTCTGATGTTGATTTCTGACAGTATGCATATGTAAGAGATATATGCACATATCTGAAAAGAGTTAATTGACCAGATAAAGGATTGCCAGAAATGGTGGGATCCCCAACTCCCACCCCCATTCCTATGCAATAGCTGATGAATGCATTTGCAGATTTCTGTTGGATCTCATAACATAACATGATAAGCTAAAAAAAAAAAAACAAAACAAACAAACAAAAAAAAAAAAAAAACATCCTCAACAAGCCACTGCTAAGATTATTTTTTTGCATTCTTTGATTAGCATCAAAAATATTAGTAGAAAAACAGCCTCTAAAAATAGGTGGATGAGGTCATGCTACCGAAATATTTAATTTGAATCTGAAAACATGAAACATACAGTACCATGCGTTGATATTCTTCCCTTACCAAAAGCCCAAGGCTATTACTGCTGCCTGCTGCTGGGTAACTGCTTCCTTCTCCTTTCCTTTTCTGCTTCAAAGTCACAGAAAAATCTCATATTTTTCCCTCCCTGAACTACAACTGCAAGAAATATAAACAGTTGATCCTGATCCATTCAATATCTTCAGTCCTCCAGCACTAACAATGTAAACAATATTTTCCAACCACATAAAACTCAATGGATTTGTTAATGAGATCATCTATTCATTCAAAGAAAATAGTATGAGTATCAATGGAGAAAGCAGAATGAATCTCAGTGGATGAAGTCTATGTAATTCTAACAAGAAGGAAAGTCAAATCCTTTCTACTGGTCCTCTAAGCAGTTTTGTGCCCTTAAATGTCCACTGAAATTTGATACTCAGCAAATGGCAAGAAAAAGTTTTTAAATGATAAATTAGAGAAATATTTTTATATGTATGACAAATATAAAAATATTTTTGTATTCAAAAATATGAAAAATAACAGGCAGGATGTCAAATCATGAAAGACAAATTATTTCTACATATTAGTTATCAAGGTTTTTTACATGAAAGTCTCTTTCATATACCAAGATTAATATCAATTGCATGTCTCTTTCATATACCAAGATTAATATCAATTGCATGTGACTTCCTCTGTCTCAATAAATGGCTTTGAAACTGCTGCTATTCCTCAACTGCATTTAAACCACTTGATAAGAAGCCTTTTGTTATATACCAATATACAATTTATGCAGCTGAAATGTGCCTTAATACAAGTCAGAAGTGAAGAGATCAAACAGATCTCTACTATAATTACAGGGCTTCCAAGTGAGCTACAATAAGATGGATTTGACTCAAGGCTGTATATTTAGCCTGAAAACAGCCAGCTCAGATAGTCTGAATCCGACAGACCCGACACATGTGCGAGCGCTACAGCTGCCACCGGGATGCAGATGCTAATAATTCTGCAGCTTTATACCCTGTGATTATGCATGCGCTGTGTAGTGGTTTGGATTAAAGAGTTAAACAAAGTGCTTCTCCCTCCCCTCTTGGCGGAAAGATAATTCAAACACATCTGATATTCGTAGACAGTTGGACAGCAGCTGAGGTTTCATTAGGAATCCCACGTATGGCCAGAAGCAACATACACCTCGGTGTTTCCGGGAGCTGCAGGCAGCCAGAACAGATGGTAGAAATCATCATCCCCAGACAGTCATCAGGGGAACCTCAGGCCACATGCTTGGATTTTTCTCAATGAACCACACACAAGGCAGGCATTCGATCCATGTGACTGCAGCTGCTGGCTCCTGGGGGAGCGGGAGGCGGTGGATTGGAGGAAGTCTCTCTCAGGTTATTAACAGGTCATGCTGTGACATTAGCAGTCCGGAAACATTGCCTCTCCCAGGGGGCTAAAACAAAAGCAAGAGAGAGGTTCCTCATCATTCGAACACAGTTCAGTGCGGCATGTAATCTGCTTGGCAACAGCACAGCACACAGAGACACTCTGCTATCTGATTCCCTCCTTTCTTCTAGCTGTTTCCATTAGAAATGTCAGAAGGAATCCTTGAAGCAGTAAATGTCCTATGCAAATCTCAGGGGAAGAGGATGACAGCTTCCCTGCAATTTTCAGAATGAGACCTGGCGGCAGGAGTGACTGTGACAGCTGAGCTCCCTCATTCAGACGTCCCCAACCTTTTTGTTCTGTTCGTGACATGTTGGGCGCTGCTTTGCTCATATCCGTCTGTCTGAATCACTCAGCCCCTTCTGTGAGCACAGACGCTGACTGCAACTGTCTGCCTCATTAGATTAAACTTTCATTGGTGATATTCTGCAGGTAGCAAGGTATCTGCAGGAACTGAGTCTGAAAATATTACATCTGACAACATGGATGGTTTTAAAAATCACCACAATGCCCCTACAACTGTCCACCACTTCACTCTCAGTTTTTCAGCTGTTCCAACACTATCCAGGGCTTGCCAGATCCTTGGTTAGCACATCAGAGCTCACTCCACTGTCCTAAGGATCCTTCCCAGTATATCCGTTCTGAGGATTGTACTGGAAAACCACAAGTGCAAACTGTGCAGTGTCTGATCCACCAGGGTTTTCCAGGACCCATTGCATATGAACTTCCAAAATTGCCTTGCCAAGCAGCAAAAACCTGGATTTGTTGTGCAAATGCTGACTTGCAGGAAGGAGCCAGGAAGGCTGGCTAGAGAAGGAGGGAAGAAGTGAAGCTGTGCTTGGTACTGTGAGTTGGTTACAGCAATCAGCAGTCATATTTGCCTGTTAATCTCCTTTGGAAACATTTACTCATGCCTGCAATATGGGATGAAAACCTGGAGCCTGAAATTTACTGTGTGTGTACAGCCTGTCCATCCCCTCTGTGCATTCAGCAGACATCCCAGCAGGTCCCCTCTGGATTCTTCACATCTTCTAGAAATAGGCAGTGTTCCACAATACTCTCTAAATGTGACCAAGAGGCAATTCAAAAAGGGGTATGTGACATCAGGTTTGGTATACTGGACACTTACAGTGAGCTGGTGCCTAAAGGCCAACATCTGTGCTGGTCTAAAGGGAGAAGCAACGTCTTTCATAGGGCAGCTGTCATAACCAGAAAAATGAACTGGCTTTCATGCTTGTAGGACCCTCTTCAGGCCTGAAGCCACAGCAGGAACTTCATGTGTGGAGCAATTAGCTGTTAATAACAGTTCTTAATTTTCACAACAGCTAAGATTTGTGAAATTGGAAATAATGATGCAATGCATCCGCATGCCAAAGTCTCACACCTGACATCCTTTCAAATCCTCTTATTGTCTGTTTGCCTGTAAAACATCGCAGCTCTTATATACTGGAGCTCACGTTTACTTGTCATAGTTCTAAAAACTGCTCTTCCATTAACATTTTTGTAGAATATGTGATAGAAACAATAAGGAGTCTTGTCAGGACAGCAAATTAACAGGAATGAAAGTGAGAAGTACTTTTTTTTTTTTCTTTTTTCCCCTGGGGATGCAAGAAGTGTGCAAAGTTCAACCATCACAAAACATTACTGAAGAAAATGTTCCTTTTTTTGTTAAAGACAGTTCTATTAAAAATACTTTTTTTTTCCTTTTAACACAAAAATTACTTTTATCCTAGCAAGAATTATCTACAGTACTAAGCCTATACACGTTCTTCTTTATTAGAGAATATTTTCATATGAGCCACTTTCAAAAAAAGCCTTTTATGTTCTCCCAGCTGATGAGTACTAATGTCAGTACAAAGAACAAGATTTAAAAAGAAAAAGTTAATGATCTGGGATGAAACTTGCATTTGTGAAAGAAGTCAAGTTGACAGTTCCCCATGAACCTTATGTTCACCTACTGGGATTAAGCCCTAATGGGATGTTACATCCCATCCTTCTCCCAGTCCTAAATGCCATTTGGTGCAGCATGTGTTTTCCAGCCCAAAGTCCCCAGTGACTACCTCAAACAACATTTACCCTTGTCCAGCCACATTCACATTGCAGCTGCAGCTGCTCTGGCCTGGGTAAGCCCAGAGCTTTTACCCACTGACCCATGGACACATCAATTACCCAGTTACTTCAGCTGTGGTACATCAAGTCTGATAGACCATCCAACAGTAATCAATAGTAAAAGTCTCAGAGATGAGTGCAAAATCAACAAATATACAACAGCAAGCATTTAGACATGTCTAAGGTAATTCTAACACAAGGAGGATGTTCTTAATTTATCTTTAAATTTGTATAGACCATGTTGCCTGAAAGGTGTTTTTGTTTGTTTGTTTGTTTGTTTGTTTGTTTTAAGCAAGGGTTATACTAGCCATGCTCAATTTATTCTTGATAAAAATCTCCAGTGCAGTGAAGTTTCACAGTTGGTTTTTGTTTGTTTGTTTTCACACTGTATCTCTATACCAACTTTAAACTTGTTACCTTTAATGTTACAGTTCTTATACTGCTGTGAGTAGGAATGCTATCTGACTTGAGGTCATTCCATCAATGACCTTCAGTTTTTGTTCCACCACCGTGTATCCATTGCCTTCCTAAAATAGTTCTGTGGGTGTGTTTGTGTTGTTCTTCTTCTTATTTATATATATAGAAAGCCTTTAAATGGAATCATCATTTTAGAAAGCATTTCCAGAATCATAAATATTTTGTATTGCTCATTTTCAGACTTTAAGTTTTGCTTTTGTAATGGGGAAAACAGAAATTAACACTCTTTTCAAGGGGAGACCACACCACTTATTTTTTCAAGGTGCGAAGCACTTATAACGCTTTTATTTTTCTATTTCCATTCTCTGATTCAAGCTGACAGCTCAGCTACATGCCCATTCACTTCCTGCAGGCAACCAAGGCACTATTTGTGAAAAACATATCAATCGGAAATGGGCAAGGGTGTTCAGTTCATTTTACCATATGCCACTCAGCCTCCCAGACACAGCATCACAACATCACATCTTTCCTACTAATATCAGATGAATGTCCAAGTTTTATCCTGAGAAAGGCTAATACAAAGTCAATAAATGCATGGGAGAAAACACTCAGCTTTTTAAACAATACCTGCATGAGGAACTGAGCCTCACAGGATGGTATGGAAAACCATAATAATAGGGCTGAGATGCTGGATCACAACAAAAGTTTATGGTTGCCTTTCAAATTTATGTCAGTCCTGTGGAATAAGCACAACATCCTGAGGCAGAGCCACGATTAGCATATTCCCTTGGGTTCATTCTGTTGAAGTAAGAGGACAGTGCTTCACCCAAAATGTATAGGCTCATTTGCAGATAAAGCAGAGAGGATATTAGGGTTTCTGGCAAAGCAATGAACTATGCAAGGCCAAGAAGGAGCAAATGAGATCTCAGGGAATGAACTTATCTCAGAGCAAGCTTAAGCTGTTTTCCTACCCTGACACAGTAGTTCAACAAATCTTCAGAGTGTCAGAAAGAAGCAGGCTGAGAAAGGTGACAGGAGGATACCAGGGATGCATTAATTCAGTGCGATCAGTGACTCAGTCACTGAATTACTGATTGCTAAACATAACCCTGCACCTTCAGAGAATATGAACACAGAGAAAGCTTTAAGAAAAGCAAAGGTACATTAAAAACATGCATGAGAAAGGCAAACATTGAGAAAATAGGAAGGACAGAAAATGGCAAACACAGAAAAGGAAGCAACAGATAAAGGCAAACAGGCACAGAATGAGCAATGGGCAGAAAGAAAGGCAAATACATAAGCAAAAATTAGTGACTAAAAGAAAGGTTATCCTATAAATCTTTGTGGAGATTTTTTTTTTTTAACTTCTGAAGAAAGAAATTGTAACAATAATTTCACAACTCAAAGACAGAATGGAAATTAAAACCTGCTTTAATTAATAGCTTTGCAAAATCTATAATTATAAAATCATAGACTTTTCTTTTTACATTGTTTGTCTTTCACAGTTGCAGGAAAAATAATTCCAAAGATGCAAATGACAAAGGGTCAAAATCTCTGTAGTAAATTAAAAATAAAAAAATAAAAATAAAATAAAAAAGCAGGAAAAGATAAGGTGATTTTTTATGAACTTTGGATATTTGGAAGGGCGAAAATACTATAACATCGCTTAGTTATCACTGTATTAACTAGATCAGCTTTTCAAACATACAAATACTTGTATGTTAGTGACTGACTAAGAAAAGCAAGAAAACTCACTCCTTTAAAGTATACTTCCGGCTCAGAAAGGCTGGACTAAGGTCAAGATGTAGTACAGCATGATTTCTTTTTAGAAAATTTTGAAGTTTTCACCAATCCAATGCTTCTAGTAGCCTTTGGAATACATTTCAGATAGTATAACCTAACAGACAAGAAAAATATGTTTCTGTATTTTTCTACTACAGTGTCAATCTGAAATATTAACAGTGCTGAATGAAAAATCATACTGAATTTCTTCAGAAACCACCAGATGTAGGAATTGTATGTTATAAAAAATCCTGACACCTGCACTGTCCCAAAAAGCTTCTAAGTCATAACCCAAATTAATACTTTAAAAATTATTCTTGACAATAACAAATATATCCAGGTATTTTGTTGCCTCTTTGAGAAGCATAACAAATCATCAGGTGATTAGCTGTCCCATTGAGCAGCTAGCCTGGACAGATTATTTTTCAGGGTCACTGTTAAGTAATTAAAGCTCTCTTTCAAAATTCCTCTGGGATTATTTCTATTGATTTAGAAGGCTGTACGTGGGACCTCTGATTCTTCACCTCCTTGCTCAGTGTTTCATGGGAGGCTAGAATGCCAGTAGAAACGGAGAGGACTTCTCTGGGAAAAAAAAAAAAAAAAAAAAGAGGACTTGTGCTATCTATCAAAAGACTATGTTAGGTAAATGTCTATAATCACACTCTGAGAGACTTCATGAGGTTTAACAACAAAGTATCAAAGAGAACTGTGTGTCTTTTTTAAATAACTAAGCTAGGAACCTACCAGAATGTATAGAACTGACTCAAAATGAAAGCAGGCAAACTGCCCATTTGCTTTGCAACATTAAAGTCTTTGAGAGAATGAACTAAAATCAAATCCAGCTTATGCGCTATATTGAAGTCCTTGATGAACTTAAAATTCAGTTGCTTCCTACTACACACAGACTTGTGTCCCTAGTTCTCCTGTCAAAAACAAACAAACAAACAAACAAACAAAAACAATCTATGATACCACCAAGGTCATCACAGTTGTTCTGAGTCTGTTCTGGTGAAAAGTGCAATGTCTCCGAAAAAATTATGGACTTAAAAAAATTTGCTGTGAACTTGGAAGAACTCCACTGCAGCAACAAAAATCGTGCTCGGTTGGAACCAGAATATACTTTTAGACAAAAACAGCAATTTTCCACCAGCCTGAGCAACACATAGCAAGGTAAGGAACATAATTTCAATAAGGTAGACGTGAAACAAAGGTGAAGCTAAGCTCCGGTAGTGGTGGCTAAGACATACTCTAGCACTTGCAAACAACAGCAGTACTCCACTGCCATTGGCAGTCTGCTAATGGTAAAATGTCCTTCCTTCTTTATTTCCTGCCCTATAAATGGGCAATGTTGACCATTTTCATTCAAAAATTCTAATTGGCATATGCTGTACAGCAGGTGCTCTAGTGAAATCATAAGCATCTGAATAAAAGCTTAAAGGTCTTGGATTATATTTTAACACCAGAACAGGAGACTTTAATCAGGTCTGCTATGTCTGGCACATACTGAGAGTTAATTAGGTTTAGCAGTAGTAAGCATAATGAGAATGCTTGGTTTTGTGGGTTTTGTTTTTCTCTTTTTACGTCATTATCAAGACCTGAGGAGAACTCAGCTTGCTCTTTCAAGGTGATTTTCTCCCTGTGCTAGCTTGGTGCTCTGAGGATTTATCCTTTTCTGGTCTCTCCTGGTGGCCAATTTCCACACTGTAAATATTACCACAGTCCATGGCTCTGCCTTTCAGATAATTACTTAAGTGCATGGGTATGTCATAGCTGGAGAATATCACCAGTTTAAAACTGAAGCACAACACATGCACTGCTGTAAATTAGCATGTAAAACATCCACTTTACTTCAGGGAAAATGAATATAAAAGAAACAGGACATGTCTGAATCAGGCCCTCAGTCATGAACTCTTAATCAACCCAAATAAACTCAGCCCTGAGATGTAAGTTTTATGCTTTCTCATTTATTGCCAGATATGTGGCCTAGTCACAGAGACCTAAATTCCCTTGGTTTAGGAGTGCAGAATTGTTCCCTTGGGTTGCATGCTGTTGACGTAACAAATCATAACAGCTGTTTATGACAGAGGTGCTAATGCAGCTTTTTCACATTTCCAGTGAACCTTTTTGCAAAGTATTAATACAGTAAGCATTTGACCTCAAGTCAAATAACTTCATTTGTCTTCTTAGCTAAAACAACTGTTATTGTCCTTCTGCACTGAAGAGTCACAACTCACAGACTTCCTTATTACAAACAAATGTGTGCTTCCACACAGTAACAACAAAAACAAACAAACAAATAAAAGAGGAAAGAGAAGAGAAAAATCATAGAGGCCAGAAAATATGAATGCAGGGGGAATGAGCAAAAGGGGTTAAGCTACTTCCACACTAAGAGTCTGGCCTCCCAGAAGAGACATTGAGTACTTGCATGATTAGGCCAATGAAAGTGATTTCACTTTGGAATGAATTTATGACCCACTTTCAAATCCCTGAAGAAAACAGGGATTTAAAATGGGAAAGCTGAAAAGCCACAACAGTGGCAATGAAAACGTCTGCTCTTTTTCTCAGTCTTATAATAGTGTCATGGCCCTGATGTTGGAAAAAAAAACAAAAACAAAAAAAAAAAAAAAAAAAAAAACAGCATGTCAGCAATGTGCTAGAAGCAATGGAAGTTATCAATCAGTAATGTGAAGTGGATTTAAGCAGCTTAATAGAGGGCAAAATTCAATTGATTAATGGCTAGGGAAGTACTCACTGAGGTGGAGATTTCAAGGAATTACAATCTGATTAAAATTCCATTTTAGAAATGAAGAATGAAGGGATATAGGATGCTAATCAGTCTAAACCACAGATTATTAGTGCTAGCTATTTGTAACAGCTGGGGCCATTGTGATAAAAACAAAACATGACTCAGTTTTGATGAAAGGAGGGGGTCATTTATTTATTTTGAGACCTAGAGCATATCAAAGAAAACTGCACCTACTCAACAAGCTTCCTGATTACTGTCTGCCATTTGACGCTTGAAAGCCTAGTTGTTTTTTGATCAACTTTGGCAGGAAGGGGAACACCCGGAGTTCTTCATATCACCTACATCACAATAAGGATCTGCTTGTTCAGCAGGGCCACCTCAGGAGGCTCCAGAGACCTTTACAGCACTTCAGACTAGGATGAATTGGGAACAATGTATTTAGAAGTCTTGTCAACAAGACAAGCCATAAGAAGAAATGTCCCTTTTAGAGATATTAGATAAAATAAAACCAGTTTCTACAGCCCTAAAAAGACTCCTTTCTTTCTCCCTGTTTTAGGATGAATATTTATTTGGGCTAAGTATTCATTTCAAAAATCCAAGAAAATCTTTCAATTAGAGTAGCTGAGATATGCCTCATTGCACTTCAGTCTCCATAAAGTAGCACTCTGATGGGCTGGCCTGAAAAAGAAGGAGATTTAAGGCAGACTTCTCAACACCTATTAAAATAAGCAGACCGTTGTTGCACTGCAGTATTTATATTACAGATTTAGTAGCCTTAAATTTGAGTTTTTCCAAACTACTTTGGTATAGTTCCTGGAAAGTTGTACCTTGTACTTTGTGTGTTTTCTCTCAGCTCTGTTACTGACTGTATTGGTTTGCTCTGGCATGGCTTCTAGATATGAGAACAAAGAGCTGTGACATTTCAGAAGGAGATGTGTAAAGTCATAGTTAAGATTTAAATCCTTTAATAGGAGCCAAACATCTGTTGTCAATTGAAGTTGTGAGCACTGATCCAAATTTGGAGTTATTCTGGCAAATTATACAATTTCGAAAGATTTATTGGTGCTACTTCTAACTAAGGAGATTTTCTTTGGTAAGAAACATGCAGAATAAGTGAATAACTCCTCTTTACCATGTATTTGATTCCCTGGAAAGAGTAGCATTTGGTCCTGGAAAAAAAAAAAAAAATCTAAATTATTTCTAAGTACCTATGTACCTATCTATATATGGCATTAAAATAGAAAAATATATTACTATTTTATGTACTTTTAACATTAATAATAATTAATAATAATAATAATAATAATAATAATAATAGTAGTAGTAGTAGTAGTAGTAGTAGTAGTAGAACTAGTACTAGTAATAAAGAAACAAAACTGTTCCCTGAGCTTGATGACAGGATGTTCATTTCTGGAAGGATATCAAACACACAAAGGAAGAATTAAAAACAAAACAAAGAAAGGGAAACACAAAAACAATAAAACAGAATCACAGATTCCAGTCTGTCCCCTACATCTACTGGAGACCACTAGTGTTCAGACCTCTATGGTCTAATTTAGGCAATATTTAGCTTCTGTAGCCAAGTGCTCATTATGAAGCAGAAAATACCCATGGCAAAACAAGCATCCTGAATGATAGACTTGAAAGACTGAATTTACCTGGCAATATCGAAACACTCCTGTGTAAAATAAAGAATCTGTTACACGGTCCCCACAGAACAAATGGGAACTAATATTTGGAGAATCTTAGTAGTTCTTCTGATGTGCCTAGCTTTGCAGCTTGCATTACCAGGTAAATAATAGTTCTTTTATGTCAGGGGTAATGTATATTCACTGAATTGCCATGGGAAAGATTCCAAATGGAGTCTAATCTTGACTTATACTACTCCCTATCACCCACTGACAGGCACATACCAGACCTTAAAGACCTGCTAGAAAGAAAAGCACATTGCAGAGGTGTTTCAGCCTTGATCATGGAAGTTGGGTTTCAGGCATGCATTATTCAATAACACTAGATGGCAGAGCAGCTGTGTTTTGAATTAGTTAAAATGGCATCTTCTGGAGCGGTTTGCTGTCATTCTGTTTTATAACATTAAAGTTTGAAATGATATCGACTTGCACATCTATGCTTGCTTTTGATTTTAATGAATTTCTTGGGTCATTTAAAAAGAATGAAAGACAAAAGTTTAAAAGGATAAAAAAGAATTTCTTAATCTAGTCCAAGGGTGACAGAAGACAAAGAAAGAAGAACAGAAAGGACCCTCCATCAGACATTTGGCCACACCAGCTGAATCTCTGTTCTTTTGACAAAGGAGGATATAAAAATCTTGGGTCTAAGAGAAACTGTTGAATTGAGGAAGTGGAATATTTTGGACAGGGCTCTGAGAGAAAGTTCAAAGCACTACAGAAGCATGTAAAAACTCTTGGATTATAAATGAGCGGCGCTGGGTCTGGTCTGTGAGATGCTGGAAGAAGTTCCTCCTGTTTCCAGGGACCAGCTTCAGATATGCGCTCACACATGTCCATGGAGGATATTTTTTCGGTCACATCTGTTGCAAGGAGGCCTGTGAACCCTGTTGGGCCCTCGTCTCAGAGCTACTTGCATTGGCTTCTGTGGAGATTTTGCTTGCAACACCTTCCCACCATCATCTCTGCCAACAGGCTGGGTTTAACCTCATGGTTATCACCTTGCAGAATAATTGCTCCTTGCACAAATCCATATCAAGCCTAAGGCACAATTCCACTGTGGCTTGTCCTTAGAATAGATGGATGTGGCTGTCTTCATATCCCAGAGAAGCATGGTAATGTGACTAATTCCTCCCACAACATTGTTTATGACTGTTTACCTGTAAACACAGAAGTTTTATGGGTATCCTATCAGGGATAAGATCAGTATTAATGCTTGATTATTTTCCAGGAATACCAACACAAGTTCTAAAATAATATCTTTTTTTTTTTTTTTCTGGAAAAAAAAAGTAATTTAGAAAGCAATAAAGTCTTTCTTTATACAACACTTTTCAGTTAACACCCTGTTACTAACTTACAAAGAAAGAGCTCTATGGTATCACTGCTGCCATCAGACACAAGGCAGAAAGACACAGCTGCAAGGAACTGGAGGCATGATGAGGAGCAGACTCGCACAGAGCCCAGTCCTACCCACTGGCCAGTGAATAACTCAAACCATTTCCCTTCAAGACCATTTAAACAACAACAACAACAAAGTCTGTTCAGATAGCCTTGCATCCCTTTCCTGTCTCCTTCCCTTCAAGAGGATCTAAGTGAGGGTGCTGTACTGAAGCAAACATTTGCAAGCATAAATTTCAGAACTGAACTACTATGTCACAGAAGAAATAGAGATAACGTGAGTGAGACTTCTTCTAGAACACTGAAGCATGAGGTTAGGGCTACCAGGGCCTGATTTCTGATGTTTTGAGGTCAACTGGAGCGTGAGCCAGAGTGTAAAGGATAAAGCACTTTGCAGATGGTAATTGCTGTTCTTTGGCTCTGCATGTAAGGATAAGGCCATCACCCTTCCCTGAGCAAGTGTGGCTGCCAGCAGGGAAGAGGATGTACCCTGCTGCCAGAACAGACTGCAGGCACACATCTATAAACATCACTTTACACCTCTGCAAACTGGACAAAGCTCACAAGGAGGGCTGAAAGAATGAATTAATGAATTCAAAGAGATGCTGGCATGGGAGTTGCTATGGAAGCAAGAAGGAATATTTTTAGATTGTTCTTGCATCACATACTCTCCCACACAGAAACTCTGGTTCCCTCAAATTACCTTTAGCGAGGAGTGAAAGATGAGCATCTCTTCACTTCATCATCCATTCTGCCTGTTTCCTGAGCTGGTAGTGAGCCATGTTGGACTCACATTGCAGTCCCCCAAGAACCTGAAAATCGTTAAAAGACAGGAATATATATGTGGCTGTTATACAGAGAAGGGATCATTTTTATATATATATATATTTTTTTATTTGTAATTTGAAATCCATGGCCGACTTCTGTGCATTTGTGTAATGAACACTCATTTGTTTCTTTCTTCTGCAAGTTCTGGAAGTGCAATTGAAATAATATTAACTCATATACACAACCCTCTTGTGCAAGAAAAAGAAATGCGCTAGTTAAGTTATATGCATTATGCAGAAGACATAAACAGACACATGTTTGTGCATAACTGGATGATTCCCTAGGGAGTAATTAGCATTTTGGCAGAGCAGCTAGCAACTATTTCTGCTTTTCTGCCAGATAAATTTGATGGGGAGAGGACTGTTTTGGTTACTAAAAACCAATGGATTGTATAACATTTTAGTACAACTACAGGATATATTTCAAGGCAGATAAGCTAGTCAGCTTTGATATTATCTATCTACCAGTGACCTCCTCCCTCATGTTCTCTTGCCAGTTTCTAATGACAGTTTTATGACAGAATGTGACCAGAAAGAACTGCTGCTAATGGAGGTTCTTTCTGAAGTATTGCTCCATTCTTCAAAATATACATTTTTAAGCAAGCATGCAATTTTCTACTCAATTTTGTCACATAGTAAGATTGGTTCAAAGTAACATTAGGCAAAACACTTTTGGGACTGGCCAATGCCTTACTCAGAGTAAAGGCCTGCTGCAATATCTACAAGCCAGCGGGCTGTGGGGTTTACAAAGCTCTACAGGCAGTTGCCAGGTTGCAGATAAGGATCACTTTCACACAGCCTCTTCAGCAAGTGGCGGGATGGTGGGGAGAGAGCCCGTGTCTTCCGGTTTGCACAAGTTCCTCTTTATAGTCACGCTAAGAAACATCACTTCCCAGATAAGGCTTCCCACAGCAGCCATTTCTTTCCTGGATCCAGTACAGCATGCCGAGAGGGTGCCACCGAGCACCCCGCTGCAGCTGGGGGCAGGCTCTCTCAAAGCCTCAATGTTTGTTTTTACAACGGACTGCTTTAGCCAAAGAGTAGAATAATGAAATAAATGTCATATGCCATGAAACGAATGGGAGATTCCACACTTGTTCCTTTCATCCCACTGCTGTATGTCAGAGCCAGCCTTTTTTCCCCGTCCTGCAGGAGAAACAGAAGATGCTGAAACAGAACATAGGCGCATGCAATATCTGTGTTTGCTAAGAACTTGGGAAGGCTCCTGACTGCCCATTTATAGTGGCAGAAGTACCACTGCCCACCCCACCAGTGGCACTAAGAAAGACCAGAGCAGCAGGCTTGAAATGGGGATTCACTGCAGCAGCACACAGGCTGCCCTGGAAGGAAATCTCCTGGGAGGAGGAAGGCACCCTGTGATGAGGTGGTAAGCAAGGTTCAAGAAGAGAATTGCTGATAGATATCCAGTGGGACTAGTCCTATCCATTCATCTTCGGCAGTCTCCTTTTATTTACCATGGCCTCATCCCCATTGTGTCAACCAATGTGCTTTATTAATAGGGTGAATTAGCTTGAAGCTCTAAATAAATTACTGGATAACATTATGTTTTGGCTGCTCTTGATTTGATATAAGGAGGGAAACGCAACAGTAATCACTGGAAGGAGTGAATATCACCATCCATCACATGTCAATGTGATTAATGGCACTGCTTTGACCTCTGCCACTTAGCCCTAGCCAAGAAATGGAAAAGTAGCTTCTCTCTGCAGCCCTGCCTGGGGCACACCTTCTCTAGAGCTGCCTCCATGAATATTGAAAAGGAGACCTGGTGTTACCTCTGTTGCTGGGAGAAGGGGGAGTGAGTGGGCTCCACTTTAAGATTAAAGATGCAGGAGGGAGCAGGAGTCTGAAAAAATTCCTTACACGTTTGTAGGAAGGAGAAATGCTTACAAGGGGTGTTTCATACCTGGCACCCCTAACACTTTCCAGCTCTCAAGTGTTATAAGCAAATGACTTCAGGTTTAAGGTTACCAACAGAGTAGAAGCTGCCTATCCAGGGACAATTTGCTGAAACATGAAAATCAGAACACACAGAAAGCTTGGAACAGCTAGTTTCCTGAAGATTACTGAAAGCTTGTTCTTCTGCTCAAGCCCTGTTTTTCAGTGAGCTAATTTCTTCTTTGATATCTAATGGTTAAATCATTCCTTGCTGTTATATGAATCTTAAACAATATTTTCTCTTCTGACTTTTTAAAGCAGAGTCACTATTTCAGGACAGGCAGGTACTGCTTTGCAGAGTTCCCACCAGGCTGAGCCACGTCTGATGAAAATATCTAACAGACATTCTCTGTTCACTCATGATGGAAAGCATAAAACATAGGTGGACCAAATCAATTGTACTGTAGCAACTGTGTCATTGGAGAGAACAATTGTCAGCCCAAAACCAAGAGAGGGCAATGGGTGAGGTAATTCCAGGCTAGTTGGTAGGACAGTGAGAGGGTGAACTGCAACAAATGAAAGCCAGAGGAGACAGTTCTGAAGCACAGCAAGCTTGGTTTGGATGCTGAGATCTGCAGCAGTGAGACTGTCAAAATCAAACAGATTAAAATAAGTGGTTCAGCAGTGACTGGGAAGGGAGAACCCAGCAAAAAAAAGGATTTAATCAAAACTCTCAAAAACTTTACAGCATCAAAGATTATCAGTGACTGCAGTAAGGGATGATATTTTATTCTTCGGAGACACACAGGTTGAGGGCCACTGGAGTGATTAATCAGATGAGAAACTTAATCTACATACTTAGGTCACAGAAGCTGGGAACACCGTAGTACTGCCAAAGATAGTGTTGCTGGGTAAAGTGTTTGTTCAACTCAGAAAAAGGCTGCATTGTTCCAGAAATAAAGAGCACGTTGTCCAGCTCTCTACTGTAGTACTCTGATATACCTTTCTCACAACCACATCATGGAAGTAAGAAGGGACATTGCCTGGCAGGTACTTCTCCCACAAACACCCCAGAAAGAAAAGGAGGAACCCCTCCAGACATGGGATGTATGAGAGCAGAAAACTGCTTAACAGTATCCACTCCTGAGGCTGAGCCCTTGCCTCCCTGGGAAGATGTTTTTCCTGGCAAGAGGTAAGAATATCATCACAGATAAGAAAGAATGCAGTTCCTTCTGCATTCCTCACCTAATACAAACCTGGCAAAGCCCCAGCAAAACTGTCCTGATTGGAGGAGCATAGCAGGGAGGAAGCCAAAGTGGGCATAGATCGTCCTTTGTTATCCACGCCTCCAGGGCAGGCCTCGCAGCTCTGAGAGAATAGGGTGATGTGGGAGGCACACCCGCCGGTACACAGTTACCCAGTGACAGCATGCCCTGGGCACCCATGGCAATAGGGTCAAGGCAGCAGACCAAGGGTTCGTCTTCCATATTGTAATGTGGAGCAAACAATTCTACTTTTGTTACATGTTTTTTAAAGAATGCTGTGCTTCAGTGTCTTTTAAAGATGTCTGGAGAATGTTGGTAAAAGAAATAGGACTGGGATACACATTGTAGATAGCATATTAGCAGAGCAGGATCATCCGTGCCAGTGCAGGCAGAAAAGAAAGGAATAAAATAACAAGACGTAAGAAATGTGGATTTTCTGGCTTAAAATGGTGGCCATTGTTGTTAGTTTGGTGGGTTTTTGTTTGTTTGGTTGGTTGTATTTTTCCCTTTCTTACTGCTAACTCTCTTCCCAGCTGGCTCTGTGATAATTGCTTTCTCTACTCATCCCATCAGTCACTGTGTAGTAGGTATTATATCAAATAAAACCATCCTCAGTGGAAGACCCAGACTTTTCTGTTTTTATTGTTGTGAGGAAGTTAGTGTCAGTAATGGTTCATTACACAGTTTATCTGCCTCAGTGATCTTTCCTTGACTGAAGTGAAAACTTTTGTTATAAACTTTCAATTCTTTTCCTTCACCTTAGTATCATGTGCTGACAAAGACTCTAACTTCTACAGCCATCCAGAAGTAGATCTCATTAGAGATACTTTTAACCATTTTTAAGAATAGGACGGTGATTAAGAACCTTTGCTTCACCTAACAGGCTTTTAAAAATTTCTTTTCCTTATTAAAGTTAGGAATGGATTTCTTCACAGCAGAAATGATGGTTTAAATATTTTCTTCTCTATTGTACTTATATTTCTATCTAAGCTAAAGCAAACATAAATTTGATGTAACATTGAATTGATAAATAAGGCATTTAGGTGCAAATTCAGAACATCCAAGCTGGGACTGAAGCACAGGTTAGGCATATTTATCCTAAATAACATATCTGGAAAGTCTTGCTTCTGGCACTGTTTTACATCAGTCATGTTTACAACTCATAGGGGAAGACCAGGCTTAGCCTTGGAGCTCTTGGGACCCTAAGATTTAGCTGCTTGGGTGTAATTACCTACACATGATGAGTCTGGCACTCAGTCTCGTATTTAGGTAAGATCTGTGATTCATGAGGAGGTACAATGTAGATAGGCTTAAACTTAGGTGATCACACAGAGCACCAGAGTTACGATTAGCCTGCGTAGGTGTCAGCTTCACATTAAGACTCTTAAATGTGGGTGTCTGCATGTGTGCAAGGTATCTAAACTCCCATCATACTTAGCAGACACCTAACCATATAGGTGGGAGTAATGAAACCAAAATTTGACACAGAAGGAGGGACTGAGCTAACCAAGTGTAGAGGTCTATTACCATTTTGGAACATCCTCCCAGGCCTCCAGCTGCCACTCTAAGAGATGAGACTCTCCTGTATGTCAAAGGTCTTTCTTACCAGCACTCTGCAGACATTTTAGATGCTCAGAGGATCCTAAACGGCTTTAGATGCCTATGTGCAGGCAACTCAATTACAACTCTAATGACTAACTAGCTGAATATGTCTCTAAGTTCCAGTAGTACTGTACTGATTTGATCTCCTCTGATTGTAATGGGACCATGGACATAGGTGTCGTAATCTGAAATTATAACCAACTACAAATTTATCTTTAACAA